ATGAAAAGTATTTACTATAAATTCACAAGATATGTATATGCGGCCTTTTTAGGTATTTTAAAATTCGACCAAATTTGTAAATGTAAATTTTTTTTTTTAATATATTTCAGATGCCATAGACAGACAACTGGCCGCTTGCTATTTTTGGCAATTACATACATCAGACAATGAACTACAACAGCAGAAAATGAAACTGAGAACAACACATCGATATTATAAAAGCAAAGTAGAACAAATTTTGAAATACATATTAGAGAGAGAGAGAAAGAGAGAGAGAACAGGCGAAAAATTTGTGTTCCGTAATCTTCTTTTGTATTATATTAAAGATCAGAGACAAAGAAGAAGCGGAAAATTGCTTTCGCATATTAAACCACCAACATTATAAGAGTGCATTCATACACAAGCACACACACACACACACACACACACACACATTGCATATCTACACAAGAGTATATAGCATAATTTATTCGTTAGTTGATGTTTCGTTGTCTTAAAATTTGGCAGCTTCCTTGAGCGGAGATTCCATATATAATTATTATATAGTTGACGTAAATGCATTTAAAAAGTCTTTAAGCGTATAAATAAATATCTATCCATTAAAAGTTCAACAAACGTTGAAAATGAAAGCGCACATTGTGTGTGAATGTATGTGTATGTATGTCGTTGAAAATAAATATACATTATATTCGTTGTTAGTCTGAGCGAATGAACGGTAGATAAGTCAACATCAAATTTTCCATAATAAAAAAAAATGAAAGAAGAAAATTGGTTTCAGAAAACAAACTGCTATTACCAGACGTACATGTATTGCTTTAGACGTGAACATATCATTTCACAATCGTTTATTTACATTTCGCCAACTTTTCTTTCTTCAAATAAATTTTATTATATATATTTTTTTTTTACACTTGCTATCGTCGATCATAATTAATATTAATTAATTAATTAATTATTAATTAATGTAATTTTGTATTCATTGTTTTAAGCTCTGCACTTATTTCAAACTTCAAAGATGATCGATCTAAGATTTGTTTTTTTTTTTTTTTTTTTTTTTTGTTTTTTAAATCAGAATAAAGGATAGCAAGTAAGAGAGTTATATTCGATGGGGGCCGAATCTCGAATAGCCACCACTATGCTTTTCGTATTCTACTCTCCAAGTTCTTTTATTTGATACCCATATCGCTGGTCTTATTAAGAAAAAATTTATCTCAGTGTCTACCAAATTCATTTTAAAATTAGCGCATTGTTAGGCAAATAATATATATATATATATCTTCACCGGTTCCATTTTTGGACTTAGATAGTAAAGTGCCTCGTAAAGCAAATGTGGAATCTTTGAGCCTGTTTCGAGTAACGAGTAAAAATCCAAAAATATTTGTTCAAAAAGGCAGTGTTGCATCAACTCTCCACTGCGCGCTTCTGCTCTGACCAATTTGGCCGATTTTCAATACCAACCTGGGTGCAGAAACATCCAATGTTTCTACCAAATTTCAAGTGGATATCTTCACTTTTGGAAGCAGGAGTGTGCGAACAACACACACTACACAGACACACAGGCGGGCAGACATGACTAAATCAACACAGAATTTCACGCTGATTAAAAATACTTATACCTAATCACATATATTACGGGAACAAAACAAATTGAGTGTACCCACATCTTACAGTGGTGGGTATAAAAATTGTTAAACAATTTTATTCAAACTTGCAATGACCATAAATGATATAAACAATGAGGAAATCTTCACAAATTCAAAATTAAATTCAATTAATTATGATTATCCCCAACCCACTAAAAGGAATGAAAATTTATATTATTACAAACTTGAACATCACAACTGAAACAAGGACGACCGACCGATCAATGCACCTTACACAATTTCGATTAATGTAATTCTTGCCACATAAAAGCTTACTGTTCATTGGAGTCTTTATAGGAAAGGAAGTTCAAAATATGAACCATCAGCGTGTTACTAATTTATGAAAAAAATTGATTTATGGCAAAAGATTTTGTTTAAGAAGAATTTACTTACGATGGGCGAGGCTCGAAAAATAGATCACTATAGTTTAGTAGATATAAAGTGAAAGGAGATTGGAAAAAATTTTTGCATTCCCTACCATTTTCTCCTCATTCGTTTAGTAGTGTTGCCAAACTTATTATTTTTCATCAATTTTTGCTGAGAAAAATTTCAAATATGTCCAAAATTTTGTATATATAATGACTTCACCAAAATGGTCCGATCCCAGCGTTTCATTCTCGAGCCAAAACATGTTGACGTCTCAAGTCCAAAGGAAATGGATAAATATCAGACAGAAGAACAAATGGGCCGACTTGCTTAAAATAGATTTTGAAAAGGCAAGTTTGCCTCATACGTCGCATACATATGTTTCTTATCGCAAGTTGTTGTTCTCGGGTATAAAAATGGTCATATATACATTTCATATCCCCCCTCTTGCTTTCTTTACCAAAAGAAACAAATAAGAAAGTTAAATTCCGTCGGCAAAGAAGTAAAAGAACAAAATTTGTATGGAGTGGGCCCAACTGATTTCTTCTATTTTCAAAAAAAAAATTTTTTTCGTATAGGTATGTGATCGATGTAGGCGTGTTCTTTGAAAAGTTTAGATCAATTGAAAATTTTTTTGCAGCTTTGTAAGCAATAACTTCATATTCGCTAATGGGAGACTGTTTACCACAAATAGTTTGTGAGTAATGAGCAAACAACATATTTTTCATTCCATTTGAAAAACAGAGGTGTTTCCAGTTTACGTGATGATGTGAGCGTGTGCTTTGACCTATTTGAGCCATTTTCAAAACCAACATGCGTGCAAGAACTTCCAATGTTTCTTCAAATTTGAAGTTGATAGCTTCATTTTTGCGGCCAGTAGAATGTTTACAACAGACATTAAATAGACGGACACACGGACATGCTTAAATCGTTTCAAAATTTGATGCTGGCCAAGAATATATATGCTTTATGGGGTTTCTGTTGCTTTCTTCTGAGCGTTGCAAACGTGTTGCTAAAACGAATGTACCCTTCATTCTTCGGTGATGGGTACAAAAAAAAAAAAAAAAAAAAAAAAAAAAAAGAAAGCAAAAGAAAAACAGTAAAAATTTTGCGTTTACAATTTCTATATTTATGGATATAGAACTACGCAGTTACAAATAATTGGCTGAGTACCAAACCACTTGACCAGAAGCATATGTAACGTAAATTCACTTCACGTTCGTTTATTATTACTTCGAAAAATAAAATATTTATTTAAGCAAACATAATAATAGCACATATATTTTTTCCGTAATTTTAATTGGGAAATTTATAAAACGCACCGTTGTTAACAGCGAAACATGCGGAGCGAGGGACGTTAATGAAGGATTCTTTCATTTAGATAAACATATAACAAGCTGATATACATACATGCATATAAAAATGTAGATGACTTGAAGCATTTCCCATTTGCGGAGTATAAATATTGAGAACCGAGAAGAGGAAAAGTATGAGTGAGTTTGGAATAGTTAAGATATTTATTGTATTATAAGAAAAGAAAATAATACATATATATGCATATATACATAATATGTAAGAAGGAAAGTAGCGATCATTTTTGTAAAACATCTCGGGTTTTTGAAAAATATAAAATTAATATCAAAATCGGGATACACAAGCCGCGTTACGTATGCCCTCACAAACTTAATATACCTTTTACCACAGATGCCGTAAGGTGTAATGAGTTGTATCGATATATAATAATATATATATTATATATAAAACACTTATAACAAGTAAAAACACTATAGCGGGCCACGACTAACCATTAAATACTCTATATCTTCTTCCAGATATCCATATATGGCCCGTAGTTAAGTTGAAACAGCCGTCCGATCCGAACCAGCTTGGGCCAAAAGATGTTAATAAATCAAACTTCATCATAACATCTAAAAAATTGCGGCCTGTAAAGTGAAAACAAGAAAAAAAAACAGACAGACGAAGAGACAAGCGTAGATCGATCGAGTAACTAATTCTGATTCGATCGGTATAAGAAAAGGATGGATCTATTTCAATCCCTTCTGGATGTTATTTACATCTGCACAAGTTTAATATACTCTTGTACCCCATGTGACGTAGGGTATAAAAATCCCAAAAGCTTTAATATTTTCGACAACACTAACAAAACTGCAAAGTACGTTTTGTTTATTATAAAAAAAACACGGAAAAGTTGAATGGAAAAAATGTTCTTACAAAATATAAGATCTGCCCATATGACGGCAAGGTATTATTTTTAGCATATTATAATGAAAAATGGTGCAGAAGAGCGGAGGCACAAGGATTCTACAAAGAAAAGAGATTTTGTCGACCAAATAAGTCTTTTAACAGCGCTATACGCGGCTATACACGGCTTTCGCAGCTTTCTCACTCGTTCTGGAGTCACCTGGATACCCTACAACACACCACCAAGACTCGTTATTCATTACCCAAAGTACCCGCCTTTAGATTAACCGTCCACACGTTCGATCGTTCACAAACACTATTCGTTTTCTTATCCTTCCTGATCAACACCGCTCCCGCACGTATAGGTGAAATCAGTCATCAGTGACTAATCGTTACAAAAAAAAAAAAAAAAAAAAAAATCAAAAGTAACCCTTGATATCTTAGCTAAAATTAAATTTCAATCACATCTGTACAAGTTTTGGGCCGCCTGCCATTTAAAGGGGCCTTATGAGAAGTGAACATTTGAAATGATGAAAATTGACGAAGAGATAAGCAAATGAAAAATTGGATTATGTATTAAGCGTCGTAACATATTTAATAGTTAGCTTAACTTATCAGCTTGTTTGCTATATATTATTTTTTAATAACAAAATTTTTCTTTCCATTAATGAAATAAATCTGTGAAATCATCAAGTAAGAGAAATAGAATATAGCTAAACTCGTGTTTTAATTAAGAAGAAATTTGCATTCATTGATAATAAATTTTAGTACTATTGTGCGTAAACTTACCTCTCTGTCCTCAGCATCATCATCTTGTCGTTCTGGATCGAGATCCTAGATGTGTGTGTGCAAAAAAAAAAAAAAAAAAAAAAAATTTGAAACGAAACGAAATAATTTCATAATAGAAACGAAATGAATTAGAAAATGAATGCATTACATTTTTACTACTTACATCCATGTCGATGTGGACAACCCCAGTTGATCTTCTTTTCGGCTTCCTTCGACGTTGTATAACGGCTTGTGTCGCTAAAGCACTGCGGCTATCATTTTCCTTATCATTATCTATATAATATATGCAAAGTGAAGTGACAAAAAATCAAAAAAAAAGTGCTTTTAAGAAGGAAGACGACTGATTGATTGTACACTTTTCAGAAAATCAATTCCTTTTCTATTGAATTAAACGATCCTGTACACTGCGCACATAGAGCATTAAAGCTATTTGAAACATTAACATTACAACTACCGATTGGGTCAATTTAACTCTTTTCAAATAGAAAGAAATAATCATAACTTATATATAATACTTTCAAAAATTGTTGATGGCTTCTATCTAATAAGCATGATTCGGTGCATTTATTGATTACAATTATATTTGACTAAAAAATACTTGTTACAAAGCCTTATAATCGAAGTATACACCATTCCTATGCGTAGTCTTTTGCCACCCCATGGAGCACCTTGCAGAAGACATCGCGGTAGAAACTTCGTCGCTCCGAGATGAAATAGATGGCGACCCATTTTCACACGTCTTCAAATTTGCATTGACCTGAACTATTGCTAAGCAGAAGTTGACAGATCTGAAGAATACTCCGCAAACCGGAAGAAGTCCTCAGTCCACGTTGGAGATCGCTTTTTAGATTGTTTTTGCTGCCCGCAGACAAATGCTCGTATGAGGCAAAATGATTTTCTCAATTCCTTTGCAATCTCTTTTATCCTGTTGGCCTTGCCACAGTTCAGATATAACAGTTTCGTCATTCGCAGTTAACAGAAGTTTGTAGTATGCGATTATTTTTCAATCTCAACAGCAAATGGAGCACGGGAGAATTCATCAGAGTGCAAATTTTTGGCTTTCGCATAACTGTTTCATAGGTTATCAGCTTCAGCTGCAGTTTTTCCAGTTTAAAACAATTAAAACAGGGCAGTGTCGTAAATGTTGTTTGTTGACGACTGACTCTTTACACTTTAATACGTACTGAACGACACAGCTTGTGAACAACTGCAACTTATACCGTACAAACACTGATGTTTATTCTTTTTTTTCACGAAATTTAATTTAAAACGAGTTAATTAAAAAGAAAAAATTCTCTCTTTACACGAAACTTTTTGTTTTAACACGATTCTAAATAAGCTATGAATTTTTCTGATGAATTTATTTTGTTTCCATGAATTTTCTCATTCTCACTCCACTTACAGATATGCATTGTAACTTCGCGTCATAGTTTCTTGACCGATTAAATGCGTATAAGAGTGGGATGCCCTGAATAATGCATTTTCTCTAAGTCGCAACTTATTTTTTACACTATTTAGTTTGGTTTTTTAAAGTGCAGTTTATTTTTTATGATATATTCATCAATGAATTAAAATGTGTAGGCACAAAATATATTTACAAGAATTTTTTAATATTGTTTACTGCATTTTTCATTTGCTTTTTTAAGTCATGAACCGAACTTTTATTTTTCTATTTAGCCAATTTCTTTTTTACACGGTTTCTTTTGAAACGTATAAAAAAAAAAAATTAGGTGCATATCCAAAATTTCGGAAGAAATGAACGCGTCAGATACGTTTCCTAAAACAACCAATTCCAATTCACAGAAATGATTCACACACATCTATTATTTATACGAAAAGAAGAGCTTTAAATACAAAAAACCAATTTTTTCTTTATGTCCATCTGGTTTTCGAAACGCCAATGCCATATAGAATTCTTATTTATTTATTTATTTTTTTGGATCAACTTAATGCACTCTCTTTGGAAAATGAAGAAGTTGGAATTGATCAATTGAAAACGCAAGTTTATAAAGTGCATATGATATGCCTACGAGCATGCTCACAATAGATAAGGAGATAAGAAGATGAATTGATTGTAACGAATAATTCGGTAATGTTTGCCGAGAATGTTTTTTTTAACGGAATCAGTAGATAAAAATAAGATTTTCAAGATTGTTTCAATTTCTTATCTGTTATGAGCCTGTCTTAAATCAGTGAACAGATCAACTCTTAACCAATCGCCCAAAAAATTTCTCATCTGTATTTTTGCGGCTGTGGTGATTCAACAAAGACTGTGGGCCAAAATTAACCTCTTTTGGGTGAGAGAGAGACAGCGAGAGATTCGAACAATTTTTATTCTTTTTTGTTCGAATTTTCTACAGCGAATCATTTAACTCAATAAAACATTGTTTATTATTGATTTAAATTCTCGGAAATTGTACATAAACTAATATTCTCGAAATCTTCTATGCATATCTGTAGCTACAGACGAATGTGGATGTTTGTTTTTTTTTTTTTTTTGGAAGCAATTTTGCCTCAGCTACACGATATGTCACAGAGCCACTTAAATTAAAGATCTGTAATTCTACAGTGAGGCCTCGGCTTTCCTTATATATCCTTAACGGTTTTCAAAAATAGTTTTTTTTTTTTCGGTACATGTTTAATAAACTTTTCGAATATTAATATAGTCAGCTTTCCTTAGACCGTTGCAATGATGGACGTCCATTCGCACTTAATAATGAACCGCATAAGTTAATAAACGAAGTTAAAAACACTCAGCATTCATGCGGCAGTTTTTTCAATTTATTCAGTCTTGAAAATATTGCAAAATCTTTTTTCGCTATGTTTTTAGAATAAGTGGCAGTCAAATTTGATGCATACAGAAGACACACTACAAATATCTTTGATTAGACCAGATCTTAAAAATGTTCCTCATTAATATAACTTTTTGCTGTTTTAGTTGAATCCTCTTGCCTCGCAATTCGAAATCCTAATAACATGACTTTTGCTAATTTAGTCGATCGAGTTTCAATCACTAAACAATTCACATTTGTTTGTTTTTTTTTTTTTTAATAATAATAAGCGGTCTCAAGTAAACTATTTTATAACTCTTAAGTGTCTCCGCATGGACGGGAGAATGTTATGTCAATGATATAACAAACATACCTCTGTCATCGTTAGCACTACTAATACCGGATGTGGTGGTGGCTACTGAATTTGTTGTGGTTGTCGAAACAGTACACGTCTCTGGCACCAAGGCGGTTGTGGAAGTCGATGCTGAAACACGACGAGGCATAAAAGATCCAGTGGAACTAGTATCAGCCTCCGTGTGGCTAGATGTTGCCGAAGCGCTTGTTAAGGTAGCTATAGAGCTATTAGTTATGGTACTATTCGGTGGCGCAGACACCGGTCTACCAATCGTATGTATTGATTGGTTCGCTGACGAAGAAACTGCAAAAAAAAATGAATGCAATAAAAATATAAATTTATTACTTAAAGTCTTCGTTTATTTATATACTTATTAGAGTACTTACTATTAGGATTCATGCCACCACTAGTTCTGCGCTGTGACATGGCGGTCGATGATAGATTAGCAGCTGCTATAACTGCCGGAGCACTTGGTATTATTATGCTGTTATTCGGTGGATATGAAGAATTCCCACTAGAGGCGTCTTCTAATTTAAACTGCATTGTAAATAAAAAATGATAAAAATTAGATTTCATTTATTTCTTGTTATCATTAAAAGGAAATATTATTTTCATTATTATTATTGGAAATTTTTTTTGATAGTTACAATAACTAGCATTGTTTCATATTTAAATGTTTATTAATTATTTTGGTTGATATGTTTTAAGATTGCATTATTATTAATTGTAGACGATTGCTCCATAACCAAAGTGCGCAAACTTTCACCAAATATTTATAATAAGATTATTCAAGAAAGGATTCACATATATCTGATATCATTCAAGTGTAGACTTGCCTGACGGACGTCTTGAATAATTCGATGTATCAGATATTTCCCCCTTTTTAAATATTACATCATATAATTGAGAAAATATTTTACTGTAAGACATGTGTACTCTTAGCTACCACCAAAGCCGTTGCTATTGTGTGTAACTGCTTTCAGCCACCATGACAAAAAAAGATTAGAAATAAAAAAATAAATCGAGTTGACTATATATACAATCATGGAAAGAAAATCCATAATCCATTTTCAAAATTTTTTAATTTTTACATAAATCTTTTAACCTTTACTAAACTTAATTTTATGAAAAATGAGACAAACGAATGGATACTAATGAAAAAAAGAATAAGTAATTGCGGCAACACACTCCCTACACGATAAAGTATTTTATTAACTTACAAAAATATATATATATATATATGTATATATAAAAATATATATTTATGTACAAAGTGAACTGTTGTGCCCAAGGAGTAAGACCCAATCTGCTTATTATTCCAAATCTATTTCATCGCCTTCAAAGATAAGCCTCATGCTTAATTAATATTCCTTATTAACAGCTTTGGGCCCGCGGAAGGAATTCATAGTGCACAACGCCATAATAGTCGCAAAGAACTGTTAACATCATTTTGATTTTTGATCAACTTTGGCGCGGTTTTTCCACTCTTGTCGCACCTTTTGCACGATATTCGCTTAATTGCTCAATCGCTTCCGGAACGTCTGCGTAGATTCAAATCGCATCCCCTGTAATAATGCGTTTCATGACCAATTGATAGTCAAAAATCATCTCCTCGCGCATATTTCAAAAAACTGGAGAAAATACTTGTTGAGTCGGACAATATCAAAAGCAGCTGAAACACTAACAACGTTTATGAAATTTAGCACTCAGTGCTACCCTATATATCGAAAAAAAATATTTCTAATACTTGATGTATCTTTAATATTCGGTCTCACTTTTTGATCACAGTATTATATACATGCATCGTGGGTTTGTTATCGGACGGAAACTTAACTGGACATAAGACATAGCTGCTGAGAAAAACTGTTAGAAATGAGCGTTGATTAGAACGAGAAATCATAAAAATGAGACGCTAAATGATACATTTTTTCGAATTTTTATATTAAGTCCATCCAGAAAGTTTTGCCCGTTCGGGTTTAACAAAAAGTTTCAACAAGTATGCGCTCTGTCTCTTTTCATCACCAAATGTATGTATACTAGTCACGTTAGTACTAATCGTTAGACTAAGTTCAAATGCACGTGACCACTGATGAAGTTTACGATATTCTCTACGAATTCCAACAAGTAACAAATTTAACTACAGAAGCGTATAGAAATGTAATGAAAGTATTTGGAACATGCCAGAATATGTTTCGAGAAACTTCAAATAAGTGATATCGACATTTTTGATAAGCAACTCTCTAGACGATCATCTTTGCTCGACGACGAACATGTTAGAGCAAAATTTTGACATCGTCCGGGTTTGTGGAGAAGTTCGACAAATCATTTCGGACCATATTCGGAAAATATGAATTGGTTTCATTATAAAACTGGGCAGAACGTTCCGATAGATCAATTAATATTCAATAATTTTAAAATTTCAGTACTTTGCAGATATTTTGGAACATTTCGAAAACATACAAATGTTCACTGTCCATGACGAAGAGGACCGATAAACGGATAACTGTCGCCTTAACTTGCTACATAGATATGGATAGTCGAAAAACCAAGTTGTGAGCGATTGCTGACATTCTAAAGATATTAAAAGAGAGTGAAAGACATGAGAAAGTCGTTATTCAAAAGTGTACCGCACTTGTTCAGAGCGGAATGAAACGTGCTAGTGATTCGATGCGCTGGCAAAATTGCATGAACTGCATGCTCGTGTTGCTGCCCCACCTATCACACTCTCCCGACCTGGCCCCTGTTGGCAAATCAGAAATGGTTGCATTCTAGAGAAAAAGATTTGGATCCAATGATGAGATTCTTACAGAAACTAAAGGTCTTAGCAAATCGTTTTATAAAAAAGGCATCAAAATGTACGAGAAGCGCTAGAAAGGAAAACAAAATTTTTTCTCGTATCGTCCGCCGTATTGCTGGTAGTTTTTCAGCCAAAAGAAAGCGCAAAGATTGAAAAGGAAATATTCGGTAAACCGTCCAGTAGTTTAAAATAAAATTGATCCTGATTCGTGCTTTAGCGCACACAAATGTAGCATTTTTTGCTTGGTTTTAAAATAGCGATACCAGTAGAAGCAAAGAAACTTTAACTTGTGCACAGAAATCAAACTCAAAATTCACGAGAGAGCGAAGTTTAAGGAGAAATAACTGAAAGTCTTAGTTAATCAATTAATTCCTTGTTAACGGCTCTTTCGGGAAGGTTTCACAAGCGAAAAAACGTTGCCTATCTCAATTCGAAGAGATAAGTTTCACCGTTTGGGATCTGTTAAGGAAATGACTCCCCCCTCTTTTTCTGGTTTTAGTTATTAGCACACTCCATTAATCATCTAAGGAATGGGAAAAATTATTCATCGTCCTATGAACAGTCGATCCCGTTTAGCCAGAAAAAACGTAAAACACGTAACGTATGACGTATGAATGTTTTTATACACAAACCAATGAAGAGGTAAGTTTTTAAATCGCCTTCACAATTACAATTTCATTCTCCCGACTTGTTGGAAATGTATTTCAGAACAGAAAAAAAAAAAAAAAAAAAAAAAAAAAAAAAAAAAAAAAAAAAAAAAACACACACACACACACACACACACACACTAACGTAATCTGTTCTTTTCGTCATCAAATCCAAAATTTCCTCCTCGAAAGCGAATTGATGAGGATACTATTATATAGTAATAATTATTTGTCCGCACTTAACTCGCACTCGGTATCCAAAGCGGTAAATTTATCTCAGAGTTTTAAACATCATGTTTAGATGGTAAGATGGTAATTGTTCAGTTATAGATATCAAGTTTTTCTCTTGAAAAGAAGGTACAATTGATTTGAGCTAACTCTGCTTAATATCTATCCTCTCACCTATCGGTAACCCTTCACACACATCACAATTACAACTTACAGGTTCTTTTCTACGAAATAAACTTAATTTTTCGCATCACTCTTCTTGTTACATAATTTTAAAAACATAATTCCCAAAACATTAAGATTGGGCCACGGTTTACACTCTCATATACCTTACACCACTAACATATGAAATCTTGAAAATATGATGTTATATGATAAATAATCGAAAAAGTAATGTACAATAGCGTAAGTGTACCAAATTTCATCAAAACATTTCGAAAATAGCGAACAAGGCGGACAGACGGACATACGAGGTTAAATTGATTCAGAAAGTGAATCTGAAAGATTGAGCGTCCATAACCAAGTGCTTTTTAATGTTAGAAAGATCTGCATAAAATACTCAAGCCTTCATGGGATATAAAGTTTAAAACTTTCACTTTTCATCCGTGTTAACTTTTTCTACACATTTATCAACAGTTTAAAGGTCAATTGTTATTAAAAGTATGCTAAGTATGCTAGTAAATCAGTAAAGAGCTGCATGTCCAAGTATTTTTTTTTTAGTTTTTACAATTTACTTATACGAAGCTATCATATATATATATCGTATTAGCGAATGCATCTTCGCTCTTTCTTCTTATTAAATAGGGTGCAGAAGCTGACGGTTGCCATTAGCACAGATTAGACAACACTTTGTTATTAAACCAATATTACTTATGTACATCCGCGATAATGCAATGAAATGATTCTTTAATTATGAATAAATTGGTTGCTTGCTATGGACAAACTCTTGCCACATAGCCAACAATGGACTAACGAATGGACTGACCTTCGATCTGGAAGAGTGGAGAAACAAATCAAGCAAATAAAAAATCTATCCGCAATTTTCTAGACATAATTTTAAATTATAAATAGATAGATATAAAAAAAAAATAAATTTGCTTCGATGCATGCTTCCATTATATAATATTATATAAACATCTAATTAAAGCTTATATATAATATACTTCTTGCTTTGAATGTCGAAAATTGAGATTGAAATACAAAACAAATTAAAAGAAGTGAATGAAATCAGCGGCATTACGATATGATAGATTGCATAATAGCGGAATTTATCAAAAAGGTTCAAAATAATGAAATATTTATTTAGAGTTAAATAATGCAACACAAGATATGAGAAAACCAAGACAAGGACAATGATATATGATGTGATAATTGAGAATTTTATTATATAGAAAATAAGCTAAAAATACATTACATAAATAATATACGAAATATTCTTAAAAAACACAATATCAATTCAATCTTTTTAAAACAAATACTAAGAAAAAAAAAAAAAAAAAAATTGTATCTAAAGAAAGAAGCCCTCAGAAGAAGTGGTCAGTGATTTGAATTTTAAGAGAGATTGATTTCATACCGAGAACATAGAACAAATACATAAAAAACCTTAGTGATCGCATATACAAAATACAAACACACTTTATAAACATGCGCGCATACACATCATAAGACCATATTAAAAACACAATTATATTTATTAAATTTAAAAATTAAAAATACAATAAATTATCGTTTAGATGTAGTGAAGAGAGCAAGAAAAAAAAAATAAAATAAATAACTAAATAAATAAAAATAAAAAATAAATAAATAAAGAAAATAGAAATTACTGTTGATACTATATTTTGTTTGTATTGTGTATGGAGGAGGTTGTTGTGAGCATACCTTGGAACCAGTATCAAATTTCATACGCCATGAGGGCCGACGTTCGGCAGGATAAAAGCCAGCACTGCTTATTTCTCTGGAGCCGACATTAGAAAAATCATTGCCGCCACTTTCACGTTCGCGTGTATGCAACGGCGAAGATGGCAATGACGATGAATCCAAACTGCGACGACTTGTATAATTATAACCTACACCAGTTACCGGGCCTACTCCAATTACCGGCCCAAATATAGAACTGCTTGTGGTACTCAGTTCATTGCTCTCATTGTTACCCGTCGACGGCAATGATGTTGTAACATCGTTTCGTTTCTCATTGTTCTCATTGTATTTATTCGCTTCGTTACGTAATTTTTCGGCCAATGTTATTGTATTGTTAGTATTGTCGGTATCGAAATAGGGGCGCTTTTCACGCAAACGTACCGGACTACCCAGAGTAGGCGAGGGGACATATTGTCCAGATAACGTTGTGGTTGGTGATGTTAACGTTGCTGTCGAGGTGTGTTGGGTTGAAAGGGGCAGAGGATTGAAAAATGCCGAACGGACGCGTTCGTTAGCGCTGTGTAAACGTTGCAAGTTTAATTGCCTTGTGGGTGTACTCGGTTTGCGCATACCTTCCGCAGGTGGCGGCGGTGATGGCGATTCAGTCTTTTTATTGTCATTTTCTTTATTGTGCTTAATCGATCTGAGCCGCCTTCTTCGATTCTCTTTAGCATTGCTTTCGTCATCGCTAACACTGCTCGATCTTGAGTATAAACGATTCCTTTGATGGGGCGGTGGCACCACCACAGTCGTTTCGTGGCTCTCTGTGGGTGTAGGTGTAGGTGTAGGTGTAGGTGTACGTGAAGTTTTACGAGGTGCCATTATAAAAGTGGCACTTACTTCTTTATCTCCGCCATCTCCTTCGTCCTCCGTCGATGATATTTCAATTTCATTTACATCTTTATTATCGATGCCAGCGACGTTTGGCAGTGAACGCAATTTTCCTGAGCTCGTTGCCATTAGCGTAAAAGAAGCGGTTATTTCAACATCGTCATCTTCCGAAGATTTCTGATTTACCGCATCGCATTCATATTTTGTGAGCATCTTCGGCGACGAAGCCTTGCTGGACTGTTCTTCAGTAATTGCTAGTGTATCTGAATCGCTATTTATTGGTATATTATTTGAAGTTTTGCTTGCTTGCGTATCATTCTGTTAATTAATTAGTTGAACAAAAACATATTTGTTGTGTTTACAAATACAACAAATAAAATTGTTTTAACGATAAAAACTTCACCATATTCAAAAAATATTTTTTAAAAAATACTTAAAGTGTCACGAAAAAAAAAAAAAAAAAAAAAAAAAAAGGGGAAACAAAAAAATTATTTAAAATTAATAAAAAAATATTTTTTAAAAAAAAATTAATTTTACAAAAAAAAAAAAAAAAAAAAAAAACAATAAGGGGAAGCTCTAAACTTATTTAAACTTAATTGAAATCTAAAATTACTTTGCTGGACATACATCATAATCAGGGCAGTAGGTACCAACGTTTATTAAATGATCGAAAATAACAATCGAGAATAATTAAGTGATAAATAACGAATTAATTAAGAGGTAATATCACCGTAACAATCCGTCTAAAGTGTAAAAAAAGCTAATTAGACAAATAATATTCGAAAAGTTTAGTTTATCTAAACAATAGAAAAACATTTTCAAAAAATTTTTTAACAATGGTAACACCGGAAAATATTCCCGCAATGCATATTCAATTTAAGTGAGACTGCGACATCGACATGCCGTGTAATTGATGCAAACTATAGTCGGCCATTGTCCACCATTAAATATTTTGAATTTTATCTTGCAGTTATCCCCATATACATCGGCTTTTCAAAATAATAATGCCTTATATAGAAAGATGGAAATCATCATTCACATTCACAATAACGTTCGTCGTTGGGCCGAAGCACGTGAGTATATCAAATTTCATCCAGAAATCGGGACTGAAGGACAAACGGACATACAAGCTTAAATCGATTTAGGAAGTCATTGTGAATCAATTCGCATAATAAAAGGTGAGCACTTCTCGGCTGTTACATACATCCGTATCAACTTAATTATACCTCTGTAAAACGAGCGATGTATAGGGTATAAAATATTGATTATTTTTTATATGACCTTCCAGTAGTAGTATATTATTTGAAAGATATGGTGAAAAATTTGAATATGCCGGAATTATTATGCTATACACCTTAGTCTCAAGGCAGACACATTTCAAGTAGGCGTGGTGAGTACTGCTACAAAACTATTCCCGAAAATTCACATTTATGAGCGCATTTAAAATGTTGCCACGCCTACAATTGTTATTTTTCATCATAAAAAAAAGAAGAATAATAATGCAATGACGTTACCCCTTAAAACGATTTAGAAAATTTAAAATTTCCTTGACTTTCTCACGCCCAACAAAGCAGTAACTGTGTTGATAGCTAGCTATGTAAAGAAAAAACCTTTAACAATAACCATGCAACAAAACTAACACTAACGCGATTGCTTCTAAGACATGCATAATTTTATTAATAATTCTTTATAATATAAAATAATAATAATAATAATAATAATAATAATAATAAAAGATTACTTCATAATTATAATAATAATTTTTAAATTAGCAAAATTACATAATAAGAAAAGCAATAAAATATTATAAATAATAAATCGTGTGTATAAATATTTTCTCATTTTTCTTTTCTAATTCTCTTTTAATCTAAATCCTAGCATGTACAGAAAGAAAAAACAAAGAAGAAGAGAAAGAAAGAGAGAATGAGAGAGAGAGAGAGAGAGAAAGGGAGAGAGAGAGAGAGAGAAAGGGAGAGAGAGAGAGGGAGACAGAGAGAGAGAAAGAGAGAGAAAAGGAGGTAATCACAGCAATCATAGCTCTATATGAATAGAGGCAGGCCAGCAGCAATGGTGAATTAAAAAAGTTTAACGATAATGTATTTATTTCTCTATACATCTCTATCTAATAATTCTCTAAACTTTAAGAACAAAATTTCCGATTATTTACATTTTTTTTTTTTTTTTCTTTGCTATGGGATAATATTAATGGTTATTTAATATATTAAGAGAGAATCCTTTCCATTGTATTTAAATGACATATTTTTTCCTCTTTGTTTTTTTTGTTTTTTTTTTTTTTAAATAAAATACTGTACATTGAAAAAAAAAATAAAACAGAACGCCACCGACTCCAAAGCGCAGTAATTCCAATGAGTATGAGATCTTACACTAAATGTGTTTTACATAAAGGGGTAGTAAAAAGATTAGAAGCACATATGACATTAAACTAAGCTATGGGTGATGGATGAAAAATTACATTTGTGTGGTGTGCGTTTGTTTATTTGTTGGCTTGTTTGCTTGCTTTGTGTACAGGGGAGACATGGAATGATAATTAACTGAACCATAAAGAAATTTACAATGAATGATGATGAGACTTAAAACCGATATTATTTAATAAAATTAAACAAAAAAATTAAATAAAAAGTTATTACTTACGTTACTGCTACTAGTGTTGTTATTATTATTATTATTGTTGTTGTTCATAGCAGAATTTTTCTTTTTAACTAATTCTTCGGCACTTTTAATTTCATCAAGAGTGACCCCTTGAGTTGAACGTCTCGTTTCGCGTACACGTTTAGCATGAGCTTTCCGTTGCGTTTCACTCTCTTCGTCCCGCACTGGAGGCACAAATGATCTATTAAAACAGAAATAAGGAAAATCTTATATGAAAAATTTTCATAACAAAACTGTACTCTACAAGGCATTATATATTTAAGGATATAAGGATATAGGATTTTTTCTTATTTTAAAACCCTCAACTTGTCATGTTATGTTCAATAAAAAAAAAAAAGAAAAAAAAACAATAATTAATTAACGCGTACGATAAAAATGTGAACTTATTTTGTACATTTGTATACGTACTAGGTATAAGAATGGGGTCAGAATAACTTTATAAAGCATAAAAACAAAAAAAAATGTCATCAAAATTGATGTCCGTCTGCTTTGACTGCTTTCGGAATTCCTAAATCTTAGTGTGAAAACTAGTTACGTATATTACTTGTGGTCTAATATTTTAATCGAAGCTTTCTTCAACAAATGTATTAGATCTACAAAGCAATTTTCTAATTGGGAATTTATCGTTTTCGAACATGTAGGTATATATAATTTTGGCTTTGATTAAACTCAGAATACATGGATCTCAACTAGAAGCATTGGAAGAACCTATTTTTCTTCTTTTTTCTTTTTTGCTATTAAAGAAAGATATAGATAAAGCTAGGGAGATGTATTAAGCCTTGAAGTGAGAAGGCAGTAAGCTGCAGAATAATTATAATGGGGTTTAGGCGATTTCAGGCAACAAGTATTTGTCTTGGAATACGGTGTATTTCTGGCCTGGGAATATACCCCGACTACGGCGTATTCTCCAGGCTTACCTTCTTCGAATTAACATTAATTGAGATCAATTATCCGCCTGAGTCGCCGAGAAGACAAGAATCGCGGCTTGATAGTCATAGTTCTTGTGCTCGTGAAGTTTTCTTTGGTCATAGTTATAATGAGTGTTTACTCTTCATTTCGACCGTCACCACGTATTTATTACATGAATGAAGGACGTCTCCGACGATCAATTATATATTCGAAAAAAAAAAAAAAAAAAAAAA